ATGTATGTATATATATATATGTATGTATGTATGTATATATATATATATGTATGTATGTATGTATGTACGTATATATATATATATGTATGTAAGTATATATATATGTATGTATGTAAGTATATATATATGTATGTATGTATATATATGTGTGTGTGTGTGTATGTATGTATATATATAAATATATGTATACAGTATATATATAAATAAATAAATATATTTTTATTATACTTATTTATACTATAACTTTCATAATGTTTATTGCCGTATTTGTTTTTTTAAATGAAACTTATTTATACTTTAACGTTCCTAATGTTTTATGCCGTACTAGAAACTTTTAGACTTGGATATGTGTGCGATGATGTTTCTCCAGTCGTCACGAGCGGAGCGATGGTTTCTCCGTCTGATAGAATAGAGATGTTCAGTTCACGAGGTCGTTCGGGCCGCTGGAGTTCAGATGCACTGAACGCTCCAGCCTTTTGTCACGGGGAGAGAAGCGAGCGATTGTGAGCATCTGTAAGAGCGTGTTTATTCAGCATCAGCCTGTGTCTGCTGTCTCATGTGAAGCTCCAGCTGTGAGCAGATGTTTCTCTGCTGAACTGCATGATCGTCTTCAAACGTCTGCAAGCTCTCTTCTGTCTTTCTTCTGCCACTGAAGCATCACGACAGAAGTTCCTGTTCTCGCTCTGATATGATCCTTTGTGTGAGAAACAGAAATTACTTGACATTAATCAGCATATTCATATAATGTTCCCTCAAACCTGACGCCTCACATGAGAACCATTGAGGACAAACTTGGTGTGATGCATCATGGGATGTGAGGTTTGATCTCTCACACACAAACAAATTATTTTATGATCAATGAAAACGTACTTTCTTTTAATATTTATTCTTTTCTTTCTTCCTTACTCTGTTTTCTTTCATATTTTCTTTTATTTGATTGTTTTCTCTTTTAATTTTTTCTTTTTCTTATTTCTTTTTTTTCTGACTGTTTTTACTTAAAACTAGTGAATAAATCTGCCTGTGCACAGGACAAAATACAATCTCTGATAGCTTTGAGAGCTGCTCCGAAATTACACACAAATACTGCTGCTGTAGTGTGTGTGTGTATACATATATTATGATGTTTTATAGTATATTTTAAGCTTTTTAGACTAATTTTAAAGCTTTGTAGACTTTAATTTCTTTTCAAAATATACTTTTTGCACTTTTCCATACTATAACTTTCAAAATGATTTATAATGTATTCATTTTTTTATTTTTTTATATTTATATGTTTAGTGTATTTTAAGCTTGTCATTCTTATAGTTTTACTTATAAATATACTTTTTGTATTTTTTAAATACTATAATTTTCATAATGTTTTATACTGTATTTATATTTTATAGTATATTTTAAGGTTTTTATACTTAAAATTAGTTTTAAAATATATATTTTTGTACTTTTTCATACTATAAATTTTATAATTTTTTATACTATATTTCAATTTATTGATATATATA